AAACAAAATAACTGCAAAGATAATTTACTACAAAAGCTCAATAAATAAATTTTTGGTTCTCTAACCCAAGCAGTAATCTCCAAAACTTAGATAGATGTGAAGGGGAGCAATCAAGCTGCTGAAGAAAGCCAGATATGTGAAGCTACTATATCAATACCTGATTGATAGGCAAACCCAGTAGGCCTCAGGCATGCCAGAGTTAGACATCACTCAGGTGAATTAGGATCCTTCTTCATAGGCACCCTGAGCTTTAGAATATATACATATGGCACTTTGTTTTACATTCCTATATAGTCCTTGTAGGAACTTTTCAGGAGGAATCACTGTCCTCATTTTACTGATAAATATCCTGAGACAAAATGGTGATGATATGATAATAGTAATAATACTAGCTTACATTTATTGAGCTTTTTTTTTTTTTTTTTTTTTTTTTTTTTTTTTTTTTTTTTTTTTTCATTTTAAAGATTTAATTTTGGGAGGGGGCACCTGGGTGGCTCAGTCGGTTAAGCATCTGACTTCGGCTTAGGTCATGATCTCACAGTTTGTGGGTTCGAGCCCTGCATCAGGCTTTGTGCTGACAGCTCAGAACCTGGAGCCTGCTTCAGATTCTGTGTCTCCCTCTCTCTCTGCCCCTCCACCTCTCACACACTCTCTCTCTCTCTCAAAAATAAATGAATGTTTAAAAAAATGTTTTTTTAATAAACAAAGATTTAATTTTTTAATGTAATTTTTATACGTGGAGCTTGAACTTAACAACCCCGAGATCAAGAGTTGCATGCTCTACCAACTAAGCCAGCCAGTTGCCCCTATTGAGCATTTACTATGTGCCAGGAACTTTGTATGTATTAACTCTGTTCTAACTCAATCCTCACAGAAACCTAGTGATATAAGTACTATCATTATCCTCATTTTATAGATGAGAGAACTGAAGCAATATGACCATACATTTAATAAATGTAAAAGCTGAGCTTTTAATTCAGACAGTTTGACTTCATGGCTTATCCTCTTAATCACAGTGTTTTGTGGTAATTATTTCACAGTATATGTAAGTGAGGTCATTATGCTGTGCACTTTAAATTTATACAGTGCTCGTATGTCAGTTACATCTCAGTAAAACTGGGGGAGGCGAGTATAAATATCAAACCAGAGCTAAAAAATATAAATTTTGATATAAAAATTACTGTATTTACTATATTACTTTTTAATGTGTAGAGAAATGACCAGCCTGGGGTCATAAGCCTAGCTTCATCCTACCAATTTTGTATAAAAGCTGGAAGTACAGATATAGAATGTGGGTCATCGGCTTCTATTGATGATCCAAAGCTAGGAGGGAAAGCTCATACCATCTAAACAGTCAGGAACATCAGGGCAACTCAGACAAAGCAATAAACGAAATCTTGTATTTGGTGCCAAGGCCTAAGCTTATCATTACAGGTTGTGAATGAGGCTGCCTATCAGCAAACATGAAAAAAAGCTTAGGGGATCTGAGTTTGTATTTGTATACACTAACTATTGATCAATAATAGTAATCCATTATCTTTTTTTTATTTTTTATTTAAAAAAATTTTTTTTTTTTAACGTTTATTTATTTTTGAGACAGAGAGAGACAGAGCATGAATGGGAGAGGGGCAGAGAGAGAGGGAGACACAGAATCGGAAGCAGGCTCCAGGCTCTGAGCCATCAGCCCAGAGCCCGACGCGGGGCTCGAACTCACGGACCGCGAGATCGTGACCTGAGCTGAAGTCGCCGCCCAACCGACTGAGCCACCCAGGCGCCCCATAATCTATTATCTTTTACGCAGTATAGTGTATACTTTCACAAATACATTACACCTGCCATAAAGGTGATAAACCGGATTTATATTAATTAAAAATACAGTAGGGATGCCTAGGCTCAGTCAGTGGAGTATACAGCTCTTGATCTTGGGGTTGTGAGTTCAAGCCCCATGTTGGGTATAGAGATTACTTAAAAATTTTTTTAAGTCTTTAGAAAAAAACCCCAAAACCTGGTATACAAAAGGGAATAGGAAGAATAGGCTCCCTCTCTGCTCTGGACTCATCAAGCAACAGTAGATTCTTTTTTATTATTTTATTTTTAAGTACTCTCTACATCCAGTGTGGGGCTTGAACTTACAGCCTCGAGATCAGGAGTTGCATGCTCTGCTGACTTGAACCAGCCAGGTGCCCCAAGCTACAGTAGATTCTGAGCAATTTATTTTCATATGATCCTTACAAGCAGGCACATGTCCAGAGGGAAAGGCAGATGATCAGTATGATAAGGGGACTGGAAATCATGTAAGTATGCAGTTAGTCACTTGTTGGGACTAGTGGTATTAAACTCCAAAGGCTATAAAACTCTTGGTGAAAAAAGGGAGAAAGCAGGCTTGTTCAGATTGGATTGAGATTGAATTGAGACCAGTATGTTTCTATTACATATTTAAGCTTCAGGAGTCATAGCAACTACTGGCAACTCTTATAAACCAGGAGGTATAGCACTTCCGATTCACTTTATCCCCACCCCTCATCGCCACCACTACCAGAGGTGAGCATCCTCTCCTTTTCTAGAACAAGACCATCTCACTGGTCACATTTACAGTTCCATCAGAAGCTAGCAATCCATTTGTCCCCATTATAAAGTCTTAGGAACAGAAAATTTCATTGAACCAACTTGGGCCATTGTCTTTTTTCAGTCCAGTTAGTGGTAGCCATTACCTCTTCTAGTCAGCTTATCTAGCAGTGCAAACTTGGTGCCTTACAGGCCAGGGCAGTGGCTGTTCTCAAAGAAAAGAGGATTGGTGTAAGCTGAGAAGACAGCCCAAAAGATGTCTATTACATATTCTATTCTCTTACCGTCTACTGCCTTCTGACAATCTCATGCATTCCTGTAGCCTCCCTACAGAAGACTCCAAGTCAGTCTAACTCTGGAATTGCAAGTTCTAGCATTCATCAAGGCCTATCCTCACCTCCTTCTATCTCAGACAACCACACCCCTAAAATACATTTAAATACCTACTGCCAGCAAGCCTCTTGCCTGCACTGTTCCCTCAGGCTGAAATTCCCTTTGACATACTTGTGCTCTAAGGCCCAGTTCAGGTGACACCTTCTAGATAATCTTTCCTTTGGCTTCCTCATCTAGCTCTAGAATCACTCATTTCTCTGTGCCCAGTATATCTTCTCTTTGTAGTTTAGTGTTGACTGCTCTGTATTGAAATTGTGGGATTGATGTCTGTGTCCTCCACTTTGGTGAGGTACATGTGAAGAGCTCAGGGGAGCTCTCAAATATTTATTCAATGAATAAATGTCAAGAGATGATTTGAAGGAGGAAGTAATAATTATTACATAGGGAATCAGTGTCTACTTTATACTTCCAATTTCAGAAATACTTGTTGAGAGCTATAGTGCATGGATCCAAGTTATTAATGAAATATCTATATATTTTTTTCAGAGAAGACTCCCCAGGCTCAACCAACTCTTTTTTTTTCCCTAAATGAATAAGGGATCCCTTCAAAGTTTCCAGTAGCAATCCAAATAGGACAAACCACAGATTTGCAAGGTCTTATCTCCAACTGGAAAACCTAAATTGACATGAATATGAAAACTGTTTCACTACAAATAAAAACCTGATTCCTAATTCAAAGGTTCCTACATATAAGAGAGTGACAGGAAGGAATTAGGGACTGTGGTCTGAATTTTTATTTTCTTGGCCCTAGCTGTTGAGTAATGGGGTAGCATTTTCTCTGGACTCTTTTATTTCCTGTGGCTTCAGCTAATTGTAATTTGTGAACAATTTCATCTTTGTGTTCAGGCCTAAGCAGTTAATGACAGTAACATTTTCTTTTGTCTTTTGTTTTTCTTATTTATTTTTTTTAATATTTATTTTTGAGAGAGAGTGAGACAGAGTATGAGCAGGGGAGGGGCAGAAAGAAAGAGACACAGAATCCAAAGCAGGCTTCAGGCTGAGAGCTGTTAGCACAGAGCCTGATGTGGGGCCTCGAACTCACGAACCATGACATCATGACCTGAGCCAAAATCTGCTGCTTAACTGACTGAGCCACCCAGATGCCCCTTGTCTTGTCTTGTCTTGTTGTGTCGTGTCTTGTCTTTTTTCTTTTTTCTCTTTTCTTTTTTTCTTTTCTTTCTTTTTCTTTATTTCTTTCTCTCTCTTTCTCTTTCTCTCTCCCTCCCTCCCTCCCTCCCCTTAGCCCTTAGCGCTACACACAGCACAAGGCTCAAACTCACAACCCTGAGTTCAAGAGTTGCACACTCCACAGACTGAGTCAGCCAGGCACCCCCCCCCCCCTTTTTTGTCTTTCCCATCTTTTATTCAGTGACCTGTAAGGATAACTCCTAACACCTAGTCCATGCCAATCTTGTGAACTGCTCACTTGTTTTCATTCAACTGATAACATTTAAAAAAAAAATCTCCTCTGAGATCCTCCATATGTGGCCTCTGGAAATGGATTTTTAGAGTGGTATGTGCAGTAGAGGAGGAATATGGGTCGAGGAGGATTCTCATGATTTTCACTCATTTCTGTTTAAATTCTATGTTTACAGATGAAATTTTGAGGGTACCTGTTCCCAGTTTCAAGGACTTCATTTCAGGTGGTTGTGACCTGTGAAACTGAGTGCAGTCGTATTTAGAATGTGCAGCTCATCGGGGGAGTTAGAACCAGTAATCCAGTTGAAATTGTTTTAAATACTTTTTAGCCAGGCAAGTTCCAGATTGCCTTAGTTGTCAGTATAATTTTGGTCAAGTAAGCAGCTGTACTCCATTTCCTAAATCTGGCCTTCATCACAGTCTGAAAAGCAGGTTTTGATAAAAATCAGTTTCCATTTGTAATTTGCGTAACCTGAGCCCTTGGAATGAGTAAAATGTCCTTCTTGGGGTGGGAGAGGTATTTTTGTAACAGTAGGGCTGAGTGGAGATGTGAATGCAAGAGAAATTTTGGTAACAGGCTTTTATCTGTATTTAACCAAATTAAAGTAGAACTAGTTGCTAATATGGAGATACTAAGTGATCACTCACAGGATGGTAAGAATACATCTAGTTAGTTTTTTGTTTCGTAGATTTTGTTTCGACTCCTGTTGTTTCTTTGGTTTGGGGAAAAAAGGCAGCAGTAACACTGGGGTTCGGTTTTGATATATTCCATCCTTCTTTTCCTGCCCCCTACTCCTATAGGAAATAGTTTGGTATAATGGGAGGTCTGTCTTTGGAAAAGTAGTCACTGACTCACTATGTGACCTTGGGCGAATCACTTTACTTTTCTGACCATGGCCAAGTAACTTATCTTTATCTTACTAAGAAGAAAAACTTAAATGTTAAGTTTGTTTTTTTTTTTTTACTTTTCATGCAGGTTTTTATTTTGAACATATGCCTGAATTATAGTTCAATCTCCTCTTAAGAGCCTTTGTTCTTATGTTTATCTTCTTTTAAATCCATATGCATCTCTCCCAGTTAAAATAAACATCTGTTTAAAATCTGTTGCTTCTTCCTATAAACTGTTTTTCTGTCACTCTTAAATGGAGTGACACTACTCAATAAAACACTGCTGATTTTATTTCTTCACCACTCACCTATTTTTTTAAGATTTTATTTTTTAAATAATGTCTACACTCAAAGTGGGACTCAAACTTAAAACCTTGAGACCAGGAGTCACATGCTCTTCCAACTGAGCCAGCCCCACCACTCACTTGTTTTTAATTCAGAATGATTTTTGTTCTGACCAGTTTACCCAAAATCTCATTAGTTGGTAACCTTTGAGCCTTTTCTTCTTTCTCACACGTTTTGACCTGCATTGCATTTGACAATACTCTCTTGTTTATGAAACGCTTTTGTTTCTTATCTTTCTCTTAATCATGGATTATTCCACCTATGTCTTCTTTGATCAAGTCATCTCACTTTCCTTCCATAAACTTCTTACCTTCCCCCGTGTCTCAGTTTTATCCTGCCGTTGCTTCTCTACACATCCCCTTCCTCCTTAGAGTTGTAGCCTATTGCCATAGCTTCAGCTCTTCCATATGTTGCAGATTCGGCTCCGGTCATGATCTCAGGGTCTGTGAGCTCGAGCCCCGCGTCAGGCTGTGCTGACAGCTCAGAGCCTGGAGCCTGCTTCAGAGTCTGTGTCTCCCTCTCTCTCTCTGACCCTCCCCCGTTCATGATCTGTCTCTCTCTGTCTCAAAAATAAATAAACCTTAAGAAAACAAATTTAAAAAAACAAACTAAAGCCATTGATTTTGTCCCTCACTCAGCTGTTACTTTTTTTCTGTTAGTGATACCACTTTTCTCACAGCCACCTTAGTGTAGAACCTCAAGTTCATTTTTGATTGATCCTTTCCCCATTCCTCTTACCCACAGATGCCCATGCCATTCATCTTGTCACAACCCACACATCATTGTAAGATTGATATTCCTAAAATATTGTTTTGATCCAGATATAATCTCCATTTAAAACTCTCAGTAGTCTTTTATCAGGATAAAATGGATTACAATCTATTCCAGTTTTCTAGACTTCTCTCTGACCATTCCTTTATAAGATCACTCTGCTTGACTGTACATCAATGTAGTTTGCCCAGACATACCTTACATTTGTTTTCCTTTTTTTTCCCCCGTTGCTGATGTCCTTTCCCTTTCCTGAAGTGCCCTGCTCTTTTGTTTTCAACTTTTTTACTATGAAATATAACACTTGGGAAAAAGTACATAAATGCAGTTTCACAGCTTTTAATGAATCAAGTCAAGAAATAGAATGTTGCCAGGATTCAAAAGCTCCTTTCCCCACCCCCAGCAGTGTTCTCACTATATGTCTCTTTCCCATCTGTGCCTATTTTTGTTGTTGTTGTTTTAACTTATTTAATATGAATGAAATCCTATAGAATGGTTCGGTTTTTGGGTTTTTTATTCGATCTGGCTTCTTTTACCCAACACTGTTTCTGTGAGTCATCCATGTTGTTGCAGTAGTTTAATACCTTTATAGCTGTATAGTGTTACCCTGTATGAATAAACCTATTTATCTATAGTCATGTTGACTATAGATAACTGTATATAGTCAAATAGAGTCATATTTGGGTTATTATTTTTTATAATGTTTATTCTTTTTTGAGAGACAGAGAGACAGCGTGAGCGGGGGAGGAGCAGAAAGAGAGGGAGACACAGAATCTGAAGCAGCTCTAGGATCTGGGGTGTCAGCACAGAGCCCCATGCAGGACTCAAACTCACAAAACCGTGAGATCATGATCTGAGTTGAAGTCCGATGCTTAACCAACTGAGCCACCCAGGCGCCCCGTATATTTGGGTTATTTTTAATTGCAGCTTTGACAAAGCTTGCCATTATGAACATCCTCAATTTTGTCCATTCATACACATATGCATGCATTTCTGTCAGGTATATACCTGGAAATATAAAAAGGTATATCTTCACCAGTAATAATGACACGCTGTTTTCTTTTCTTTTCTTTTTTTAGTTAAAAAATTTTTTTTAATGTTTGTTTATTTTTGAGAGATAGAGTGCCAGCGGGGGAGGGGCAGAGAGAGGCTCCAGGCTCTGAGCTGTCAGCACAGAGCCTGATGCGGGGCTTGAACTCACAGACCATGAGATCAAGACCTGAGCTGAAGTCAAACACTTAACCAGCTGAGCCACCCAGGTACCCTGGGACATGCTGTTTTCTATAGTAGTTGGACTAATAAACACTTCTATCAATAACATATGAAAGTTAGTTTTTCCAAATTGCCATCATAACTTGAAATCTTTTTTTTTTTAATTTTTAGCCATTAGTATGTTATTGTGGTTTTAATTAACATATCCTTGTTTACTAATAGATTTGACATCTTAAGTTTATTGATGAATGTGGATAGTCTCCTTTGTGAAATGCCTGTTCAACTTTCTTGCCCAGTTTTCTGCTGGCTTGCATTTCTCTTAATGTTGTATAGGAGTTTCATATTCTTGAATATTGGCTCTTTGTAGTTTGTGTGTATTGCATTTATCTTCTCTCATACTTTTCACTCTCTGGATGTTCTTCATTGTAATGTAGTCTAATTTTATTAGTTTTTCTTTATGATTAACGCTTTTTGTGGCCTGTTTTAAAAATCTCTTCCTAATCCAAGATCATGAAGGTTTTTAAATTATCATCTGAGAGGTATGTTATTTTGCTTTTGACATTGGAATCTAGTTGGAATTAAATATTTTGCCTGGTGTGAGGTAGGGTGAAGTCCCATTTTCTTTCCATATAGAGATCTAATTGTCCCGTGCTGTTCACTGAAAAGACTTGTCATTTCCTCACTGCTCTGCTGTGCCAACTTTACCATAAATTAAATATCCATAATATGCCTGGTTATGTTGTGGTATGGTATGTCTTCATTCAGTTCCTTTGGTCTGTTTTCTATCCCTAAGCTGATAAAACATATCTTAGTTACTGTAACTTTAAAATGAATATTGATATATGGTAAAGTCTTGTTTTTCTCAACTATCTGTGCTCTTTTTGTTCTTTTGTGTTTCCCATATACATTTTACAATTATCTCAAGCTATACACAAACATACAGAGTTGGGATTTTGAATGGGATTTTACTCTATTGATCTTTACAGTAATAACTTGCAGTATGTTAGCGTAGTATTTCTCTTCAGTTACTGAAATCTTCCTCAATTTATCTTAGAAATATTTTATATTAAGTGTTTTACAATTTCTCCGTAGAGATCTTGCATGTTTTTATTGGTTTGCATCCTAGCTATTTTATATTTCCTTGATATTATTGTAAGTGGCAGGTTTTAAAAAATTTTATCTCTTTGTGGATGGTATTAGAAATATGGTTAGTTTTTGTGTATTTCTTATTTCACTGTGCTGTCTAGAACCTCCAATACTTACACTGTTGAATGAAGGTGTTGACAATGGCCCATCCTTGTCTTATTTCCAATCTTAAAAGAAAAACTTTTGTAAGCATGTCACCATTAAGTATGATATTTGGTTTAGGTTTCTTTAAATAACCTTTATCATATTAAATAAATAAGTTTTTTTTTATTCCTAGTTTGCTATGAATTGAGAGGTAATGTTGAAATCTATCAAAGCCTTTTTCTTTTTAAATTAAAGCACTATTTATTGCTTTGAAGGTGGATTTTTTTAAACAAAAATACTTTCTAAAATGTTTCATAAAGTTGCAGAAAAAAGGTTCTAATCTTACAGAAAACTTGTATCTAACAACCACAACACAACTAACATTTATTGCATGTTTGCTGTATATTAGGCATTGTAGTAAGCACTATAGTTTAGTGTGAAAGTTCTCAGATCTTGGTGCAAGTTTGTCTGCTTAGAATTCTGGCTCTACTGCCTATTAGCTAGGGGACTTTGGGCATATTTCTTATTCTATGTGTGCCTCAGTTTTTTCATCTGCAAAATGGAGATAATAGTAGTATCTACTACATAGAGTTGTGAGGAAGGAGTGAATTATATGTAATACGTAAAGAACAGAACTTGTTACATAGTGCCAGCGTGCATGTTAGCTATTATCATTGTATTCCCTAGTCCGTGAGGCGAGTACTGTAGGTATCTGTTTTACAGTTGATAGTGAGACTTAGAGAACTCAGCTCAGTTACAGAGCTGAGAAGTGGAGAGTTGGAATTCCTACTTGATTAAGTGTCTTAACCCACCAAGCCAATGTATTTCAAACTTTTTACACTTTAATCCTTAATACATTGTGATCCAGTACTCCACCACACATACGTACACACAGTCACACAAATGAACACACTTCATTTGAAAGAAAGGTTTCAGAATATTTTACCCTTACTACATATGAAGCACTTTGATATTTTCTATTTCATTTCCTCCAAAAATGCTAGTCATGATGCTGTGGGTTATGACTTCTAATTTGGAAAGCCATACCATTTATTCATTCATTGTTCATTCATTTATTCTACAAAATGAGCATCTTCTCAGTAGCAATCATGGTGCCAGATGTTACTGTTAATATCTTTGATTGAGACTTAACCTGCAGTGTAACTTTGGTTAGGTGTAACTAAGGGGTCCTGCCGCTTATACAAAATAAG